ATTTTGTAAACGTAGGACGAATATACCAATAGAAGAGAAATAGTTGTGAAATGGCACTCTGTAATTGTAACCCAAATTTCCTGGTCAACTTGGTATTTTAGGTGATCACAATTATTTTAGCCCTCCGAGTGTCCCTAGTTTTGGCCTTAATGTCTGCCTATTTTTTGCGCATTTGCAAGGTTTTATTAAAACGGATCTGAGAAGCTTAAAAACCATGTTAATTATACTGTTCTATATACCATTTTGTTTGGAAAATCATGGGCTTAAATATTATACATAAAACATAAGGAACATTTGTTAAAAAAAAAAAAATTTAGGTAAAAAAATATATTTTGGAAAATTAAAAAAAAAAATAAGTTTGCGCTCAATGAAATTGTATAAATTATAGGCCTATAAATATTTGAAAATAGCCACTTTGTTCTAAATTTTATGAGGATTCCAAAAATATAGTAATATAAGGAAGTAGATTTGCAAATAAATAAGTTATGGGCAAAAAACAGATTTCGGTACATAGCGTTTAGCTAAGAATGCATAGCCTAACCATAGCTAGGAATCTGGGTGATAATTTACATCAATATCACTACCTACTTCTTCAGGATCATCAACCAGCCCTTCAAAATCACTTAAATCTTCTTCTTATAATGCACCACGTATATCACCACTTTTGATTTTTAACACTAAAACAATGATAAACGTAATAAAACACATCAGTCATCGGTGCGAGGTTAACCAAGCTGTTTACGCACGTCAGCTGTCTGCTACAATTAAGATCGGCTCGAGAGAAAAAAGCGCTTAGTCTGCCAAATAAAACGATATCTAACTCGATCCAGTTCAATCCGATTTTGTCAGTCATAGAGCCTTCGCCGTAAACAGTGTTTGTGAGTCGAAAAATCGACACAAAACACTAAGAGGGTTAAGTTGCTCCATTACTGGAACAAAACAGCTTCTGCTCGATCGATCAGTTTTAATGCTTTTTAAACTGAATGAACACACCATCAGTTGATTTCATTTGTAACCACACATTCGTATTGTTTTATCTATTCTTTCTCTATGGTTGGAATTCTTTTGTCTTCATTTAGAACTTAAGCTCAATGTTAAACGTTTATACACATGATCCAGTAAATGAAGCACCATTGAAGCTAATTTGTTTGCTCACTGTATTAGAACATATAGTTCCCACGGATCTGTAAAGTCAGGGAAACATGTGTAGGGCCAGTGAAAGTTTTTAAAACAGACCGCAACTCAGGGTAAATTTTTGAAAGTAATGTCAAGGCAGGGAAATTTCATAAAACTTAAATGGATTGTGTTAATTTTTTTAATGATTTGTTATGTAGAAATGAGATAATCGCTGCAGAGATTACTTAAGTTCTGAAAAATATATGCCGTGGGCAGCAAGGGATTCACTATATATTTTATTGTGGGAACCCTGTAGATATGATATTTCAAAACTGTCATGAAAAACAGAATCAGTAAGCCCTATAAATGTTATACTCCGAACTGACATTTATTCCTGTATGTTGTTTTAATCGTAAGAAAATTCAAAAGACACATTGCTCAAACTTCTCAGTTCTCACCATATGTTATGTATCCTTTGCTTTTAACTTGCACTGTTTTATTTGTTGTTTATTAATTTTATTTACGGCATCTATTGGCCTATGTATATTGAACCTAATTATAATCCATGGAAAAGGGGTAAATTACTTTAAGACTTAATTTTGTTTAACAGTGTGGCTATGTCCTAAAGTGGTTCTAAGAATTAATTTATGTTCATCATTGTTCACTAAGAAATCATACAAAATCAGAATATTTGACAAAAACCCATAAAGATTGTTACTCTGTAAGACATCTAAGTAAATATTGTATTTGATTTATTTGTTAAGTTAGGACTGGATCTAAAGACGGATAAAAAAGTTGGAGTGGGTTAGGAGCAGAGATTTTTACATACGATAACAATATTGAGTGGTTGTTTGTAAATGTATTTTGTTGCTGTTTGGTTTTTCAGTAAATTTCCCATATAGGGAATAAGCAATTACTGTAGCTCTCATGGTAAGACCTGGACCTGGACCGATTTGCAGAGGCCAAAAACATCATCCGAAATTTAAACAGAGGTTCATAGTCTGGTTGTGGAGTTTGTTGTCTTCATTGCAATAGAGACAAGATTCCCAAGCTTGAATCTTTTTTCTCATTGTGTACGCCATTGTGGTTCTGTGTAGCATATCACTCTCCAGCAGTTTCTAGAACCTTGCTACACAAACCTTCATTCACGTTATGCAGCCTGTGTCCACGACGCCTTCATGTCCCTCAGTCTCGATGATGGCTGTGTTTCCGAGTTGCCATAGTAGAACAACCGAGAAGCACTAGACCACTAGCAACCCACCAACCTCCTCTTCAATATAATTTTTCATTTGTTGGAATCTGGTTATGTATCCCATAACCTCTGGATCATTTGAGCAAAAGACAAAGCACTTGAACTGGAAACTCCACCATCTGTCTGGCAGAATCAAGAATTTTGTATATTGGACATCGTACAAAGATGGGTGCTTCCTTTTTTTACTGGGAGAAAAGTTAACTAACATGGTCCTGACAAAGGAGGGGGTTGTCTGCCCCTTCTGTGCCAATACCACGTTAGTTTAGTTCCAATTATACGTTATTCAGTGACGAACAAACGTTGATGATTTTCTCAGCCAAAACTCTAGATTGTGTTTGCTCGCCTACGGCTCGTGAGTAAGGATTTCTCTCGAGTGAGTCAATTGCTTAATTTGCTCACTAGTTGCACAAATAACTATTTAACTAATCTTTCAGTGTCAATAAAGTAATTAATAACTATCCAACAACGCTTCAATATACTAAATTATTTGTTTTTTTAACTTTAAGAAATAGTTTGGAAAGAAATTGTAAATATTTGAAGGTAAAATGCAAGAAAACCTATTGTTACCCCCATTAACCCTACCCATGGTAGTCTAGAAAACGAGGCCTACGCTAATACAATATTCCCCGTATGAGAAATCAGCTAAAAAGTAAATTTCAGAACCAATTCCGAACCCTAATATGAATAATTTAAATTTTACTTGAAAACTCAAAATCTTTAGACCCAGTCCTGCTTCTAGCTAAAAGTTGTACTAATCATAAGATCACCTGTGTACCAATCAATGTGTTTTATTATTTATTTGTCTCATCCTTAATTTATAAATGCTTCCTTGAAATGCCTACGAACAGCACCTAAACCGAGAGCCTTGAGGTCAAAAATAGATTTATTGTTCCGAGCAATGCCTTTTCTGTGCTCAAGTAGACAAAGGTGGAAAACCTATCTTTCTCTCTTCCTCATTGTACAAGTCGGTGTGTTATAGCTTGCAAAAATGGGGCATGCATGGAATATATGTATTTATTTATATCATAAATACAATTAATAGTATTAACTTTATTTATGAATTGGAGTTTAAAACATAGTCGATGTATACATTATTTCAAACTATTTTGTAATGATAATAGAGATTGTAAATTTTAATGTTTTAATTTAATAAATGTCAAATAAATTTATTTTAGTAATAACTACCTATGCCTCTTTTTACCTTTGCATACACTTTTGAAACTCTTACCCTCAACTTATTTAGTAATAGGCAAATAGTTTTCAGGGATAGAATTTATCACTAAAGAGATTAGTATATTGAGGGTTAGTTGTAGTTTCACTATGTTATTAGGTCACATTATGGGATCACAATTGTGAAATATTCTGCATGCATTTTTATACCTTTAATTCCGTTATATTGTGGTATTTCTATAACAAAATATTTCCCAAGATTCAACCCCATTCATGTTGACCTGATGAAATCCTCTTGTAACTGTAATAGTAACTTTGACTAACCATTTTGAATAACTAACCGTACGATGCATGAACCTATCTAGGAATTGACCGCTTGCAAAATATATGGGTTGAAAACAGTTTTTGTATCATCTTAACTATGATGGCTAATACTAAGACAGCTGGAGAGTGAAGCTCGAGACAGAGTACAGGCACTAGCCACTCGTATGACGGAACTGTGTATAACATAGTAATTCCAACCTGGGCTGCCGGCGGCTACGTAAGCTTAGTGTAGGCCTACCTTCCCATGCTTTCGTTCGTTACTATGCAGCGGCGCGTATGACATCTGTAATATGGACATACGGTACTGATGTAAATCAAGAGATGCAGGTGATCGATCTCTTCACTTATCAGATGTTGAAGATAGCTTCTTTTATGATGTTGTACACTAAATCCTGTATCGAAAGTGTCAAGACGAGACTTAAAAAATAAAGAAAACACCAGCTAAGATGAAAACCAAAACTGATATCAAACTCTTGAAGCCAAATGTTCAAGTTCAAAAACCTAACAAAATCACTCCGCTGAGGCTTTTGAAGGAAACCAGAGAAGAAGATCCATAAGATTTTCCAAATGTAGTTATAGCCAAAGCCATAGTGTTGAGGATATTTGCAAACACTAGTCAGATCTACTTACTTTTTTCTTTTGATTCATTCAGTTTTAAAATAAAACAGTTGCGTAAATAAACATATTTGTGTTTGTAATCTGACTAAAATTGTTCAATGAAAAGCGTTATAAGAAAACTTCTATGCTGACTTGTTTTCGAGCCGCAAAACGCGTTTATACAAAGTGATTGTGATCTAAATGTCTAGTTAAATGTGCGATTAGAAATATTCTTTGACAACCAAACAACTGCTTCGAAACTAGTCGCCTGAGACTAAACTAGGATAGACGACATAAACCTATTTTATATTGTCATATTTAGAGATTTTCCCACACTAAGTTTTCATCTACTATGGCCAGACTAATGATAATACATAGGATATTACCTTGACCTGAATTTACAAACAACCCTCGTCCTGGCTTGTAGGGCAGGGCAGTGTTAAAACTACTTTGTGATGGTCCATTCAAGAGGCTATATTTATATCGTATTGGTATATTCACAAGATACAGCTGGAAAGGGATTAAAAAAAGGTAAAAGTCAAAAAGATTATACCTTTATTAGAAAAACTGTACCAGATACTAAGGTATGAACACCATGATTGATTTACATCCTGTGTTGTCACAAACTATCACAACGTTACATTCAAGCTAAGATGAACACACATCGTAATCTTAATCGTGATGGTAGAGACATTTCTGTGCAGCTCTAGGCTTGGATCTGGTAAACTACAAACCGTACGATTATTGCAGTGGAGTATTATGGACCAAACTGCGTATAACTTTCACTTAACCTAAGGTAAAGAACAAAATTACACCACTCTCCCCTATTAACACGACATTAAACGAATGGCAGTGAATAAATTCATAGCGGTAGATGAAAAACACAAAACTTAAAGCAAATCAATTACATGGACGTGAGACATTTTTTATAAAGTGTTGAAAATGCTAATAAAAAAATACAAATCTTGAAATAAAAAAACTATGAACAAATTATGCAACCTATGCAAGGCAAATGATTTTGTTATCAGACTATGTAATTTTGTCTTCATTAAAATAAAGTTAGTTTCAAGAAATAGCCTACATTAGAGATGAGTGGTATAAACACTCCTAAGGTAACCAAAGTTTTGTTCACATGCCTAAAACAAAATGTCTTGTTGCATAATATTTAAGAAGAAATGAATACAAAATGAATGAATTGTTGACAATCTACAACATATTTACAGATAGTAAAATCCTCCAAAATATCTACTAGCGTATAAGAGAATTTATAAATCTGCAACTACAGAAAAATAGATGGGTGATTTGAAGAAACATTTAGAACAAGAATGACTCGTTTGTTTCCTCATGAACATTGTAAGGGAATACTTGTAATTTTCTTTTCCACCGCTGAATCTATCCTTAACTGTGAGTGAATATTAATGGGAGTTGTGAAGTTTGGTGTATCATTCCCGTGCTGTTTTTATTTTTATTTTTGTACAATAAGAACATTGTCTTCCTTTGGGCCCAAGCACAAACAAATTAATTTTATGTTACTTCATATTAGAATTAACTCCTCGCTAAGTTTTATGAGAATATATCAATAAGCAACCGTTAAGATAAATAGTAGGTGCTTTTTTGGGTATTTTGGTCTTGAGTAAAAAGAAGACACGTTCAACCAATGCTACATACACTAATGTTTTATACAAATGCACATAAAATAAGAGACAGCCATAAAATACTTAGCAGGATATTCCTTTGACATGTTTCCTGACTAGATTCATCTGTAATAACATGTACAAACACAGATCTATGTCGCTAGAGGCAAAAGATAATATGTGTTTGCAAGAAATTTATTAGTAAACTAATAGAAAATTATGACATTAGGTTTAAGAAGGGCTGTTGTTCTCATTTAAACTTGAAACACATTTTCACTAATATCAATTTAAGAATCAAAAGAACAAGAATCATTTACATTTAACAGCATTGCTTTATAAATTGTCCTGCCTCGTCAACATGAAATTGTACTCGAGTTCTAATGACACATATTTGTACATAATTTTAGTAACTATGTAAAAAGGCTAATGTTACTACGACATCTTCCAGGAAAAATCAATGATTTACAGTAAGGGGAAGAACATAAAAAAATTACATTGTCATGGCTTATTTCTAATAATATTTTGATACATACCTAAACCTTAATTGATAAAAATGCAGATTTCAGCATGTATGAAACAAAGACTGTTCTAGACAATACTTTACAATCAAATGTTTTTCTAAAATGTTTTAGATCAAGTTTACGAGTAAACATAGATTGTTATTTTAAGAGTTTCAATAAGAACTTTCAAACATTTTTCGACCTTAATAAGCTTTGTTGTGGTACAACAGCCAGGTATGAACAATTTTATAATCATTTCAACTACCATATTTATATTGTAGTGTTTTTGTGGCCTGTAATTTATGCATGATAAGTAAGATACACTTAAACTAAGGTTATTTTCTCTTTAGATAAAAGTAGCTCATATGGCAACAAAGCATATCCACTTAATATAACTATAGTAAGAAATATAAAAATAACTAATAGAAAAGGATAGTACTGGGTAAATGGTGAGAGAATTTGCTCTAAGCGCTATTGGTGAACTGCATTATTTCGCTCCTGGGACTTTGCTAAGGACCTGAAACAAAAGATTATTTTAAGTTCATGATTTCAAAGGACAATTATTTCAATGTCACAGTAAGATGGACTTATCATATTGCTAAATGTTCTGTTATGGGTTTTTCAGACTAGCTTGGTGGCTCTAAAGCCAACAACTCAGAAGTCTAAGCTGATCAGTATAGTTGTGTCCAGTTTCAGTTTCATGTTTTTTTATATCACGTATTTTGTTGTGTTATGCAGTATGTATGTAATCCATTTATAAATGAATGGTATAAATATATATCCATGTAAATATGAAAAGTAGGGATAGACGAGAATGGATTTTAAGTTCGAGATGAGATTCTTTGTTCTCAACATTAGTTTCCCTGTATCAGCAACGAACTCATTAAACCTATTGTTATTAAAAAAAGATTTTATCGAAAATCAATTCAGGCAAATGGAAATTCGCTAAGACAACAGGTTTGCTGTGGCAGGGGTATTTTTATAATCTCGTCTGGAAAAAGTCTCAGAGCAAAGAGTCAATCTCGCTGGAACTAACAAGATTATTTTAATCTCACAAATATCTAAAAAATTCCAGGCCCGTCGATCCGTAACTAAAAGAAAAGACTTCACTAGGTATGTTAAGTTAGATCGGGTATTTAGGTGAATGCAGATATTACAGTCACTTGAAAACATGAGGAGTATCTTACCTCCAGAAACAAAGTGTAGTGAAAAAAACCTAGGTATAGGAAAAGACCTACCTTAAAATTAAAACAACTATGTCAAACCAACATCAGACAAAACAACCCACTCTGGCTCCCCCTTAATATTTGTCTTACTTTTCCCACCCTGTACTTTCTAGTACAGAGTGGGGAAAGTTTCTTTTCATATTTATATGGATATATATTATTTATACCATTCATTTATAAATGGATTACATACATACTGCATTACACAAAAAAAATACAAGTGATATAAAAAAAAAAAAACATTAACTGAAACTGGACACAACTATACTGATCAGCTTAGACTTTCCCCACTCTGTACTGGAAAGTACAGGGTGGGAAAGGTAAGACAAATATTTAGGAGAAGCCAGAGTGGGTTGTTTTGTCTGATGTTGGTTTGACATAGTTGTTTTAATTTTAAGGTAGGTATTTTTCTATATACCTAGGTTTTTTTCACTACACACTTTGTTTCTGGAGGTAGGATACTCCTCATGTAGCCTCATGCATGCCCTTGCAACCCCCATCACCTCACAGTTCTGGTTACTATTACCAGTTCAGTTCTCACCTTCAATTAAAGAGCTTTTGCCCTTCTTCATGGCTTATCTTCCGTAACAATCTAGTGCCAGTAGAGCCATGTGATCAGTGCCTAACAACAGGTGTAAGCAACTTAAGCTAGCAGAACCTCAGTCTTGTGGGGCTCCAATTATCGAGTCTTGCCTGAGCTTCAAGGATTCTACTTGGGCAGTCTTGCCTAGGATAGGAAGCTCTATCCGAGCAGTGTTACCTGGGCAATCATGCAGCCCTGCTCAGACAAGTGGGGCTCTAACTGAACAGTCCTGTATTGCCTTGATGGGTTCTACTTGGGCAGTCTTGCCTAGGATAGGAAGCTCTATCCGAGCAGTGTTACCTGGGCAATCATGCAGCCCTGCTCAGACAAGTGGGGCTGTAACTGAACAGTCCTGTATTGCCTTGATGGGTTCTACTTTAGCAGTCTTTTTGGGTTTGGGGCTCAACTCGAGCAGTCTTGACCAACTTAACATGCTCTAGGCCTAATTGAGAAGTCCTGCCCAAGCTGGAAGGTCTCTAATTGAGCATTCTTGACTTAAAGGGGCTCTCCTGGAGGCACAATTTTTATTTCAGGATTAGTTTTGCCAACAGTGTCATTTGAATGCTTCTGATTGACCAACGAAGGTTTACTACAAAAAAATAGTTTGGTTCATAAAATAAAACTATAAATTTCTTAAATTTAATTTTATAATGATGTAATTATAAAATTAAACTGTCATAACCTAACCAAACCAACCAAACTTGCTGATAATGAAAAAATTTAGACAAAAAGTTAGTGTTACTAGCGGGATTCAAACCCAGTACCTTCAGAATATCAGCACGGCACACTATCCACTAGACCTCCGAGGCCAAAGTCGTACCACTGCATCGTTTTGGTAATAGTGTTCTCACAATTGATTGGCATCAGAAGCCTTCAAATGACAATGTTGGCAAAACTAATCCTGAAATAAAAATACAGCCTCCTGGAGCATACTTTTAAAATGCTCTTCTTCTTCTTCCAGGGGATAACTGATGGAAGTCATAATTATCTCCAATATAAATATACCAATTCACAATTTAGGAGACCATTTGGCAAATCTGAATCCACATATACACCTGCTATCACTTAGCACACTTAACACCTTCAGGAAGAGAGTATTTGATAGAATATGTATATTTCACATAAAGAGTCAAGAATAATGGATACTCACTTTGGAGAGGTCAACTCCGGTGAGCGCGTGGACTGAAGGCGGGATCTGACTGACCAGACGGTTCACTTCCCCGGTAATGTGATCACTGCCTCCCAGCAAGACAATCTCCTCTGTCTTGGCCAGTGGAGCACTTACTTCTGCAGCAATCTGAGACGACACAATAAAGGTTATCACTCAGTTGCAATACAAAGTGGTATTATTCATTTGACTTTATTTATAAAACAACTGATTTTTCAACATTTTATATGCTCACATTTCAAATGACAACTTAAGAACAAATTTTAGGCTTGATTTTAATAGTTTTTAAGTTGATTTTAATAAACATGAAATGGTCTGTATCTGAATTATGTTAACTCATTCAAGGTAATTACAGTATCAATGGAACAGTATGTGGACGGAGAGTATTTTGTGTTTACCGAGCAGTTTTGAGTTTGTCAATGAGCATTGCGCATCCTGACCTCTCAACAATGCAGCTCAGTTATAAAACATATTACTTCTACGATTTATTACATTGTGTTACAACTGAAATCAGATGTTTTGTTGTCACTTAACAATAAACAAAATATAATGTGCTTTTTGTGAGAAAAGTGTCTTTTTATATTTTGATCAAATTTACACACTTAGTTAGACCTGTGCATTAAACATTGTCTCTTGTTCAAAAAAGTGCCACTTGCCTCACTAGTATGCACAAATAACTATTTTACCCACATGATATTACAATAGCACTGGTGAATATACACAGTGGCGGTCCAAGGGGGGGGGATGGGAGGGATATATCCCCCCCAACATATTTTATATTTTATTAGCGAACATAAATACTATTAGCTTGAGCATATTTTAGAGCTCAAATTCATACAAAAAATCATTTTTAGGCTTTAAATTCCACATTTTCCAGGAGGGGATCTCTGGACCCCCCCTTTTTTTCTGGGGGATATTCCGGGCCCCCCCCCCAAATGAAATCCTGGGACCGCCACTGAATATACAAGACCAAAATTACTGTGGCCTAAGAAAGGGAAATTCAGCTGCAAGCACAAATAAAATCTTAAAATTTAATATTAAGTTTTATCTTAAGATGATAAAACATCTCGAAGATAAAAGATTTATCTTATTCTAATAACTGGGTTGTGTTGCTAGGACTTCGGTGCGGGAGGGACAGGTTCAATCCCCGGCACATCCACTAAACATTTATTCTCTTGTGACTCTCTCGTGAAATGCCACTAGAGTAGGAAAAAAAAACATGTAATGGAGATTGGAGCTTACCTTAGGCAGGGCGTCCAATACCAGAGACATGATGGCTGCGTCACCGTACTGTTTATACACTTGAGCCTTCACTCGCATCCTCTCGGCATCAGCTTTGCCCACACACTCGATGGCTTGGGCCTCAGCAGTTCCCAGCAACTTGATCTTCTCCCCTTCTGCCTTGGCTGCTTCCACTGCTTGCGTTCTAGGAGGAAAAGATATAAAGGTTTCAATAACAAAACCCTCCATGGCAAAAGCCTCTTGATAAGAAATTCATGTGGTAAACACTCTTGAATTTAACACATTATTTTGAATGAGTGAACCACTAAAAGAAATAAATGTTGATTATGAGTCAAATTCTTGTATATCCTTGAGACTCTTACAATAAATGTGAGCTTTAATGCATTTGGCAGTGTTAATTTTTCATCCTCTCAAGATTTTGGTAATGAGGAAAATTGACCTTGATGGTAAACATCTGATCATCCCATGGCTGGTGTTCTACAACAGTAACAATAAACAGTTTTTCCTACAACTGCATGGAATGACTATTCCCACTCGTTAAATCAGCTGATTTCACTGTTGGCGTTCCTACAAAACATAGGCATAATTGTTGCTGAGTAACTTATTGATGACAAATGGAAAAATATGTTACCCTTCGGCAGCCAAAATCTATATTTTTGAACTATTAATTGCTTGATCTGGGCATGACTGCTGATGTCAGAGAGTAAACTATATATCATTGTGTGCAATTACCTTTTACCCTCTGCGATTGTCTGAACCTTGTAACTCTCAGCCTCGGCAGGTAGTCGCACCAACGCCTTCAGTTCTCTATCCTTCCTCTGTACCTCTTGCTCTTCTACTTCGATTTGCTTTCTACGCTCGACGACTTCGATTTGTATTTCTTCGTTTCTGATCTTCTGGCGTACTTTGGCGGCTTGAAGTTCGTAAGCTAGTTGTGCTTCAGCTTTCTACAAAGTAAATGTGTTTTACATTTCCGAACCAAATACGATATATATTACACAGGCCAATGAAATCAGGTGGTGAAAAGTACTAAATTATCTATCTGATTCCTAATGATTGTACTTACCGCAGTGTTGATTTCCTTGTCGAAATTTGCCTTTTGTAGCTTGAACATTCTGGAGTTGTCTTCTATCTTGGTGTCAGTGTTGTACTTTATGTCCATTGCTGACTTCTCACATTCAGCTTCCTACAATTATAAGAAATGTATAAAAAAGTAAAAAACAACTCAAACAGATCTAACAACAAATTAAAAATTAAAATACTGAAAGAGAACTACATACGAGAATTTATCATTGTATTGTAGAATTATTTCAAGTCTATTCTATGAAGGCGTTTAGAATTTTGAGAGACTAAAAATTTATATTTTACCATAAAGTTAATTAAAAATATAAGAAGCAACCAGTCTAGTGGATAGAGCAGAGGACGTGTCTAGACATGTCCTAGAGACCAGATTTGAATCCTGCCTTTCACCTTAGGCTTTAAGGCTTTAGCAATGCCTTGATCTGGTGGATTGAAATCCCAGAAAGAAAGGATAGATATTTCATAGGTGAAGGACTGTCTCTAAAACTGGAAAACTCCTTCTACTAGGAGCAAATATGTATGCACAATCATTTAGTTAATATTCAAAACTTCATTAACAAAACAAGCCAAAACAGCCACACTCCTTTAGAAACTTTGCAAAACAGTTAGCAAGATATTTTACCATCGTGATTAAGAACTTTGTCCTTGGGTTAAACGGTTTATTTTCATTGTTAGTTTTTATTTTGATTACGCTACTGGCTACTGTACTGAAGTTCCTCTACTTGGGAAAAACTAGAAGACTTGTATTGTAGGAAGCTTTTATATAACTGCTTTGGAGCAGAACTTAAATAGAGACACACTATTGTATTGTAGCCTGTCGAGAGTGAATTTACTTTGGACAAGACAGTTAGTACACTTGTACAGTTGTAGCACACTTTTGCAGAAAATTCCTTTTAGTCCTTCATAGAAGGTCCACAGAAGCAGCCTGTTACTAAAATGGCCACACCAAATAAGTGCCTAGGATGAGAAGCTAATGTGTGGCTAAGGTGAGAGTAGTAAGAATGAGATGGTAGCTTTATGATTGGTTAAGAAAGATCAGCTGTTTCTTCGGCCATTCCCTGAAAGCCCAATGGATCAAGGACGCTAGGTTAACTTTCAAACGATAAAAAGCTACTGAATATAGGTTTTTTCCGTATTGAACCTAGTTTGTCGGTAAAGACAACATTTCCGTACTTGTCAAGATTGATGATTGTAATAGGAAATATTAAAGGTCCTGTAAAGGTTTGTGAAGATTAATATTAATGCACTAAGCTGTCACTTGTTTGTCCATCTACCAGATTAATAGATAGTACAACAAAAAATGATCTACTTACTCTAATTCCAGCGTCCCTGTTGGCCTGAGCAACACCGACGTCAGCATCACGTTTGACAGCTGCAGTCTGGGCTTTACCCAGCGAGGACAAGTATTGCACATCATCATAAACATCCTTGATGGTAAAGGACAAGATCTCAATGCCCATCCTGCCTACATCTGGGGCTGCAACTTCACGTACTAGTGCTGCAAACTGGTCTCTGTCCTTGTACACCTCTTCTACAGTCAATGTTCCTGAGACATCATAACAAACACATAATATACATCCTTGATGGTAAAGGATAAGATCTCAACGCCCATCCTGCCTACATCTGGGGCTGCAACTTCACGTACTAGTGCTGCAAACTGGTCTCTGTCCTTGTACACCTCTTCTACAGTCAATGTTCCTGAGACATCATAACAAACACATAATATACATCCTTGATGGTAAAGGACAAGATCTCAATGCCCATCCTGCCTACATCTGGGGCTGCAACTTCACGTACTAGTGCTGCAAACTGGTCTCTGTCCTTGTACACCTCTTCTACAGTCAATGTTCCTGAGACATCATAACAAACACATAATATACATCCTTGATGGTAAAGGATAAGATCTCAACGCCCATCCTGTCTCATCATACAAAATATTATATATGCCTGTGTAAATAAATGATTTTTCATTTCATTTCATTATAAGTTCTAAATGTTAAGATTTAAAATTTTGATCACTATGTAATTGTAAAGTGGTAACTAAGATCCTATGTTGAATTCCTCATACTGTATTAGGATATTACGTTATAAGGCTGTGATGTAGGTGTTTACAGTACAAGCATGATAGTTCCTGTGCAAATACTCTAAACACCTTCCTGGGTAAGTTGTGTACAACACTTTGTAGAGACTAACATAACCATAATATGTCTATAATTTTGACACTTTGTAAACATGAAGTACTCAAATTTCATACCTGTTTTTATATTTATCAGGCAGCAGATTTGAGCAAATTTCTTTCCACTTGTCTATTATTTCATGGGGAATTTCACAATATTTTCTATTGTAATGCATTTTCTATTACAGGTTAGTCAGTAAATGAGCACTCGCCAATCAAAATGATTCACACTATTGCAATTCATGCATTGTTGCGATGGAGAAGTATGTGCTGAGGAGGGGGGAGGTAGCTTTGTCAAAAGTACCTATACCATTGTTGTAGCATATTGCAAAACTGACCCGTAACTTTATTGTTGTGCTTCAGCTAACTTTACCAGTCCTTTTCTGTAAAAAAGAACTTTCTAGGCTAAAAAGAGTACAGAAATACGCTGCTTACTGTTTACTGAGTCAGAAACATTTTTCATGAACAGTCAGTACCAACCTATTACACACACATATTACACAGCAATATGCAATTTTCCATATAGTATATCTTATGGTGGTTTTAATAGGGACTAAGACAAACTTCCTTGATAATAACAGGACAAGAACGGCAACAGAACAGTCAACTGACCCAGAATAGCTCTCAAGTGGCCCTCCAGTGTTTGCAGAACTGTAGACTTGATTTCCTTCACACTCTTGCCCAGGAACTGTTCAGAAGCAGTTTGCAACAGTTCGTCTGCCTTCATGATCTTACACTGGGCGACCCCAGTCACTGTGAGAGGAACACCTTGCGACGTCTCCACCATCTCACACATTGGGTTCAGCGTCATAACCTGCGACACATCAATCATTCAGTCGAATAACTAAAGCTCTTTGTAAGCTATCAAACTTGAAGTTGTAGGCCTATTTACTTCCGTCTTCAATCAACATTTTTCTCAAGTAGATGTTTTGATCTTAGGCCATCATCAGCACTCGTCGTACACTAGATTCACTTGCATTCTCTCTGTGTTGGAGTTGTAGGAGCTGTGTCGGTTGTTCTAAGCATATTTATTTTCACACATACATATAAATGACACAAATGATAAAAAAATTTACATGGCCTTGGGTCTGTGGTAGCACTCATTTGTGTCCTGAGCCCGCTCATGGCGCTCATACATGCGCATATTTTGTCCTTAATTTTTTATTGTCTGTGTTGTGTCTATATTTTCGTGCGAAAATGTGTGTGAAAATACAAAGAATAGGCAACACAGCCGCTAAAACACCAACAATATTGCAACGGTATTGTCAGCCGAGATGCAAGTAAAACATCTTTGCCACCAAGACTGATAATCGAATATAATATAATAGGTTACGTACCTTATTCCGTCTTCAGTCTTAACTTAGTTCTGTCGTGTCCGCCGTGTAACCTGCGTCGGTTTGTCCCGTATTCAATGTGGCCGGCCTATCGTAATTGTTTTTGTAACTATATTTATGTAAAATGTGTAAACTTTATGTGTCGTCAACCTGCATGTATACATTGATGAAGACTTACGTCGGATATTTGACCATATTCAATTGATGTTTTAAATAAGGATTTGATAATGGGACTTTGTTCCCGAAACTAGTCATCCAGCATTGACTAAGTTAAGACTGAAGATGGAATAAGGTACGTAACCTATTATATTATATGCAAGTAAACCTAATGTAAGACAAGGAGCTGACGATGACATAAAGTTATAATAGGTACTTCTGAAAAATGTATATTGATGACACAAGTAAATACAATATTCAAGGTAGTAAATGCAATCAGTAGATAGCCTACTGCCTAATCTTTTTATTGTTTTTAAATCTTCTGAGTAACTACCCTCTATTTGTACTATCTGTTTTCCTTTATGATTTCTTGTTTCTTGTTTTGACTACTATAGTTCGGCCGCTTAGAAAACGACCTGCATTGGTTAATGCTAAACCAATGCTGGAGGAGGTCGCTTTCTAAGCGGCCGAACTATATACACTTCTATTTGAGTGGTTTTATTTTGTCATATTGCAGCTTTAGATACTGTAAGTTGTTATGTTTTAGGGGGATTTTCTCTATACCAGATCCCGATACGTAGTGAAAACCTTTTAAGAAATCTTGATGAAAAATGTCTACAATAGGCTAATCTCTTACCAGGAGTACATTAGGGCAATTAAAATGTAACTTACGATCATAATACAAACCTCACTCTCCTCATCTTTGTATCACATTTTTCCCACTATTGTTTGCCCATACAAAATATGTACAATGGAGGTTGTTGAGTTTGTTTGATTGTTCAAATTTTATAGTACAAAATTTGTCAACAGCGTTGTGCCAGTTTTACAACTTGCTTTTGCCAGGAATAGATTTCCTTCTATTATATATTTACTAAATTGTAAACAAAAAACATTTAAGCTTAAACAAACAATAAGTGTTTAGAGACTTACCTCCAATGAGAGATATTGAACATCGGTGACCAGCCACCAGGCCCAGGCCCATCCTCCAACTATGGTGGACTTCTTTTGGGACCCACAGCAACCCCCTGCAACACAGAACAAACCCTTGAACTAGAAATGTGCCTTTCATACTACTTTACTTCATATTTCATCAACTTTACTTGAGATGTTACTCTAGATTTCAATCAAATCATCTGAAATATTACAAATCCTAAAACTTTATAGAATGGATAATGTGCAGAGTGCGGAACATAATGGGGGTCTATAAACTTTTTTTTAGAGTGCATTTTTGGGGATGGTATGCTCTATCTATGTGATTTTATTATTGCGGAAATGATCCATCTTGATTTCATGACTTTTTTGAATTAAAAAAAATCAAAACGTCTTAAAAACTTGCATTTTACCAATAGAAATGGAAAACTTTCCAAATAAAAGTCTATAAACTGTTACAGTATTTTAAACACTTGAACTTTTAACGATTACTTTTTTAAACAGGTCATTGATCTGGTTCACTGCCTCCCCTATCTCATCACTGCCTTGCCCATGTGATTTATACCAAGATGGTTATGGCATAGTTATATTAAAATTTATCTAATTCAACGGTACGGTTATGAATCATTTCATATTTAACGGTTATGAGAATATTGTAATTAAAAATACAACTTCTTCAAACATACATTTTGCATAGGTACACATTAAGTATCATATTGAATTCGGTCAACGCAACTCATCCACATGCTGTTGGAGGAAATAAAGTCAAAGAAATTAAAGTGTAACATATTTACAAATATTTTATACCACCGAACATTTACACAAACATAACAACTAGTTAAATCGCACATGAGTAAATCAACTTGACTCATTAGTTAATTTTGCACCAACTTAAAGTTCATCTATACTATAGGAAAAGCAACCTTGTTCAAAAAGTTGAGCAACAAAAATGCTGAGTTATCCCCAGACCACATATTTTCCACTAAATAAATCTGACGATACGTTTAAAATAAACCTTGGCAACCACAAAACTGCAAGATTTCTGATACCAAAAAAACATAACAGACATAAAAAATAATTGGTGAACATTAAAACTTGTGATTGCAATTTTTTCCCTTCAAAGTAATCCAAAACAAAGTAATTATAATTGAATATGTTCAAACAAATGAAAAATTTAATAGCCCAGCTGTTCTGTTACAATGATTAAGAGATTATCATTATCATACTTTAACCATATAGCAATACAGAAGTATTTATTCAGGGTGTTTCTTAGAATGTATACAGGTGCTACAGTTGTTAGTCCAAATATAAAGGGAAAGGAAAAATTAAATATATTATTTATAATTTTTGAATATTTGTTCTTAATAGTAAAATAAGAGCATAAGATTTGGATTCACATTGGTCCAGAAGTTACATACAAATTGGTGGGTTTAAAAGCTACCCACCATAAAAACATATATTCAGGTTCATCCCTCTCCAAAAAAATTTAGTATATTAATTTAAAATGCAATGGACTAGTTGTGTGATGCAGTGTTAATCATGTGATAAAAATAAAACTATAAAAAACAATTGAACCGAATTTTTCTTGCCTTAGATAGGTAAAACACTACTTAAGCATAGTGGCTTGACAAAACTAGGGCTTGTATAAACCTGAAATCCTTTATCACCGAGGAAAAATATTTCTCTGCACCTGCTACAGAAAGTAGACAAGAAGAACAAATACAGATGATTGAAAAAAATCTGTTTATATTAGACTATGTGACAAATTCACACTAAACATTCTCGGAGATTCAATTAGAATATTACAAACAATATTTGATTTTCCTTATTTCACACATAATATGTCAAATATAAACTAATTACTGACAAATAGAGAACATAATTCAAACAATAAAAAATTCATATCAGTATTCTTAAAGGTTATCTACCAATCTAACCATTTTACTACACAACTGCTCAGAACTTCATTGAAAAATTCAAATTCAATATACAGTATACACCAATAAAATCACCAAATGTATCGACTCAAATGTATAAAATGTTGGGGAGAGCAAGGTGCATAATTATATATTATATAGCAGAAAACTGGAATGAAACCTATAATCATTGGGAGGAGCTGAGATAGATGCAAGGTCAGTTACAGAGATAATCGGTTATCTGGGGCTTGTCTCAGTCAGTGTGTAGAGTTGAGTGTTGTACTACCATGGTTGTGTCTACAGATGCAGGACTCTACGCTAAAACTAAACACAAACTTAGGTAAAACCTGATGTAATATTAATTTTTAAATGTTGTACAATACCTCGATAACAAATCTCTAATGTATTATCTAACATATGGTTGGCTTCTTATAGGGGTTTGCAGTAGATATTTGGGGTAATATAAAATTGAAAGTATTTGAAAATGACACTTGATTGAGTTATTGAATAATGTATAGAATGTAACAACTATCACATGTGATACTTATATAATTCTATTTACTTATTTTTCTTTGTTTTAATCTTGCTAAGAAAAATGTTTATCCAAATTTTGCAAAATTAAAATTTTAAATGTAAATTTTTAAAAAATTCATTCATTCCATTAATCATACCAATGCATCAAGACTGTATTTAAATGTTATTTTCATGGATACTGTATTAGTAATTTACCTAGTTCTATTCAACAAAAAGAGGCATGTGGCATATTTACAGAAATGAATGTACATCATACCGATACATCAAAATTACATTAACACAGATAATAACTTGGGTTTATTACTATTTACATTATTGTTTCGGATTCTCCATGAATATTTCCCTAGTATAGCCTAAATAATATGCAACACAATACATAATGCCTAGTTATCTGTAATCTCTACATTTTCCATGTATGTTAAAAGTTTAAACTAGCTAAATTGTAATCAGTATTATGAGCCCGATTTAATTCACTTAATGTACCATTTAAAAGTATTAAATCCCAGCACAGAATACATTAAACCTATCTTCATGAGGAAACTAAAAGGTAGATAAGGAAATGAAATAATCTGCTTGAAAGGTTGCGACCGCATCAAATCCAATTGCATTACCTTAAAGTACATTAAAGTACTTTTAGAGTATGCCAGGTGTATTCTAGAGGTATATTTTGACTCAGGAACATAATAGTGTAACATATTAAGAGTATTCATTTCTAACTCTTAGCTAGAATGTATTAAGTGTTAAGTGAAATGTATATTATATTGACCATTCTCACTATATACAGGTTGATTGGTATAAGTGTGCCAGCTGTTTTATTTGAAAGTTATAAGATATATCAACAAATTTTAAACGGTAACTTCCTTGGATTTTAATTTTATTAATTTTGGTCAAGTTGAAAAAATAATTTTAGCCGCCATTTTTTTAAATGGTCGCAAACTTTGATTTTTCTTATGGAAGACCCTATATTTTATGATTTCTTTAGGAAGTAAAGAACTGTATACAGAGTGGAAAAAAAGTCCCGACAAAGTTAAATACTTCAAAAAGTAATTAAGGTAGAGCTTTAAAAGTTGGTACACCGTTAATGGGCATTAAAATGATTTAAACACATTATTCAGTGATGTGCTAACTCCTCAGGGGGACGGCCTGCTAGGAGTCAAAAGAAAATCTCAAATGGAAGCATAAATTGATACATCAAATTAATCACCCAAGTAATATAAGGATGGATGGAAAGCATTTAACTTTCACTAAGGGTTTCCATTTGACAAACAAAACATTCTATTTCCCTTCAGACTTAACGTTTTCAACATTCAGTTCATAAACGAACCAATGACTTTCATAGGGCATACAATGTTATTGATAATAAACGGGGTATTCAAAGTTTCCAATGTCAATACTAACACTATCACAATCTAATCTTAGCGTTTCAAAGAACAAACAAACAAAGTTATTCAAGAGAATTCTACGTAAACCGGTTCAATATCACAGCTGATTCTCTGTGGAATACATGATGTAGTTTGTTATCATTGGAAGTTTTAATAATTGTCACAAAAACAGCCATTACCGTAGTCTGGATATGAATTCTGTTTTGCTGCATAAAAAATTAAATAAATAAAATTATTTGCATGATCATGGTTGTTAATCATAAGGGATTAACGGGACAATAGTCCATACTTTTTATTAATTTTATGTTAACTTAAGGAGTTTTATTTGACACGTGAAAAACGCAACTGATGTGGCAAACATAGCGACAATCGGTGATTGAAGTACTTAATAATATCGTTAGCCCAAGAATATTTACTGTAAACACACGAAATGGATTACCACAACATTGATTCGCACCAATCTATCTCTAAACTAGGTCGCTAACTATGTATTACAGCCTCAAACTTCATAAACGCGTTGCTACATGAACAGATGTTTCGTTACTTGTATCTTGAATTGTTTTATTGCTGTCAATATAACATACTGCTGAAACTGATTCTTTTATAGATTCTGTCTACGAGTGCCGAGTCTCCCGAGCGCCGCGTCTCTCCAGCGCCGAGTCTCCCTAGCGCCGAGCAGGCTATCTGGCATAATCTGACAGTTTTGACAGCCGCTTTGGAATTCACAAAAGCAACGGACTGCGGTAAAGGCGTGTGACCAATTGAGCATTGTAGACAATCAGCACTGGAATGACGTGCGAATAGTCACTTCGTTAATTTTACATACATTTCATTGCAGACATAATACGTTTCCAATTCTAAATCAACATTTAATGAATATTTATTAATTCAGCTTACCGACTCTCGTACTTTTGAGATGCTCGCACTTAAACTTGAATGATTAACCTAACCTTTACTGCTTCACAGATTAAACTCATTGATACCATTTTAAAATAGAATGCAATAACCCTCGTCACTTCTGCATCACTGAGCACCCTTTGGTTATTTGTGGCCTCGGCGCTGGGGATACTCATTTGCCCTCGGCGCTGGGGAGACGCAACGCTTTTATATCCTCGTCCTCGTATTTTAGTTAACTGCAGTGAGCAGAAATTTGCATTTTGTTGTTTCCCGGCGTGACTTGACGAGTTTAGTGAAGAGCGAGGTTTACATGCGATTTTTATTATTGATCCTGGGATCCCACATTGAGACCCCTAGCTAGATGATGTGACGATACGCAGGTACGCCTCTGGTAGAAATGAAAAGTGAAAGAAAGGTGACGATGATACGGAGTGGAAGGTGGAAGGGACCGAGGACCGTTACCCGAGGCAAGGTATAAGAGGCCGTTATTCGCCGCAGCCCAGTTCCCATTGACCTCTCTAGTTCATAGTCAGTGCTTCACACACACACTAGCCGAGGATTACTACAAGGTAAGGCTAATTACTCACAACTTATACTGTAAGATCACTATGGTGGCGATAGTTGGACAATTTTAGTTTGACGTATTTTATAAGTTAGGGTCGCAGATTCCGTTTGTGATTGACATTTTGCTACTTCAATTGTTTACCTACATCCTCTAATTATCAAACCTCCTATATAAATTTTAACGCGGGGAAACATTCACAAATTGTGCATTTTAATGTGTACAACACTTGTCTCTAAAGCGTAACGTATACCCTTTTATATTTCAAAGACGACTTAAGCTAAAAAAACATTCCAACAAAAAACATTATATGAAAACCCAAATAACATAAACAGAATTCCGTTCCATTCATTGAAGAAGAATTACATTGAAGAGAATTAATAGATTATTGAACAGTTAATTAAAAATATTCTAACTACAGTATGTCGTTTGTATATCCATAACAAAATGAGTGATTTATCCCTAATCAGGCTTCAATTACTGTTTATCAATAAAAGTAGCCAATTAGGATAGTTTTATTTGAGATTTGCTTTATATAATAAAAAAAATCTTTCTTCTCTTGTGTTGAAATTTGACTGTGGTAAAAAATTCAACTGAAGGTATATTAACTGTTAAATTAAAATTAAAATCAAAACAATTTTTTAGCAACTTGATCAACAGCACCTGGACATTTGAAACCACTCTCGAGATGAGTCAAAAGCTAGGGGGCGAAGCCCTAGGGAAAATAACTATTTTAGTTGTCATTCGTCCCTTCGATGGATAATAAACTTAAAAAATGATACCTCAGTTTCAAAATTAAGTGGGACGGTTTACAAAGGGGTGTTAGAGAAGAACCCCTTATTGGATGAAGTATACAGAAAACAATACAGATTCATGTTGTGTTTGACATTGCCTAAAAATACTGTAATTGACGACGAGTTGACATTAAACCAGTTATAAACTTTTAATCACAAAATAAATACACAGGTTTAAGCAATGCTTTGAGCCAATGAGACTTTATTCATTTTTTGTAGGTTGTACAATACAGTACTGTAATTAGTATAGTTATTGTGTTACAGTCCACCCTATGGCGGTTGTTGATTAATTTAGACTGACATTACGTATGCAAATGTACGCATACAGTTATTTGAAAAATACTGTATTAGATTTGTTTAAGAGGTTAGACAATTGTTTTTTTAAAGTATTTGCTCGAATAATCCCGTTGAAACAGCGTTCTTGGCTGATTAGACCGTGTATTTAGAGATAAACCTTTCATAGACAATGTATAAACTTAGTTACTTGTGATTTTCAACCAGTCTTACGTCGTATGTTGAGTTACAAACCCCTTTTCTGTCAAAGGCTCAATAACAATTAATTGCAGTTTGTGTAATGTTAGTGTGACGGACACTGCAATCAACTTATCGACCAATATTTGAAATGTTACGCCAAGCGTTTAAATACCGAAAGTATAAATTATAATCTATAATGGTAGACACAAACGCAAAATGTGAGCTCTTCCATTGAAAACGCCCCAGCGCACTAAAGGAGCATTTGGAAAAGTCTTGAAAGTTCTTTAATCTAGAATAATAACAAATTTAAAAGTTTTTAAGATCTTACAAAATAACCCAACCAATTTAGCATAACAATAGCATGAACTATTATAAGATATTTTGTACTAAACTCGTTCATAGAGTTTCTCTTTGCCAGGTAAAGACAAATTCAAAAAAATTGTAAGCAACTTAAAACGCAATAATTAAGGTTTATGCATATGATGCAATCTTTTGTTATAAGTTAGTTTTGATTGTTGTTAGCATTCTAAAATGACTTTAAATTCTACAAACCATAAAAGACTGATCCAACCCCCCCCCCTCATACCAGACCCCAACCTTACAACCCCCCCTCATACCAGACCCCAACCTTACAACCCCCCCCTCATACCAGACCCCAACCTTACAACCCCCCCTCATACCAGACCCCAACCTTACA